ATCAGAGAGTAAATTTATTTTGGTTCTCTGTTCATATTAAAATTTTAGGTGTCAGTTAGATATTCTTCCCATTAATTTAAAGATTTAAATCATTGCTCTCAGTTAAAAAGTAGGACAACACTGCTATACCCATTGTACATTATTAATTTTCTTTAGCACACATGACACACTATCAGTCATCTGTGGCAAGTTCTGATTTATTCCTTCGCGATGGGGAAAGCTGAGACGATTTGTGATGTGTGCCATTTGTTTTTGTGTCAATAAGAATAGACAAAAACAATCTCTTCAGACATAGTGGAGGGGTGCAGGGGGAGTGAAATGATGAGTGATTCATCTTTTTGTGCATCAATATCTTTCAAACAGTGAAAAAGGCCATCAGCTTTGTTTAAGGCTACTCCTTCAAATGATCCGCCTAGTTTAAGGTGCAGAGCACGCACGCAAACAGAAGCACTCATTTAATGCGTCATACACTGAAGTACATTCAATTTTACAGGCTGTTCAATAGGAATAATTAAGTCATTCGATTTAAGCCTGAAATACAAAAAAAATCAATTTAAGGTTTTTACATCACAAAGCTCAAAGAACACTATTCTCATACTTCAAAAGTTGAAGTTATATTCCTATTTGTTTGTATTGCTATAGAACAAACACATCTGATTCAATGGAACAAGTCGTGAGATAAGGACGCTGAATACCTACAGAGTATTTGTGCATTGCTGTTTGCTTTGTTTGTCTCCGTGTGGCCCTGTGATGGACTGGCAGCTTGTCCTGGTTATAACCTGCCTCCACTCATTGACCACTGGGCATTAGGGAATAAACGGTAACGATAATGGATGGATGGATGATTAATCTCAGAAGGATAACAGCTAACCCATAGATGATAACAAAGCCACACCATATTACTACATAATATGTATTTGTGTGTGTAAACATTTAATGGTACGGTCATCTAAAAACCCATCACTTCACTTCTTAAACTAAAACTGCCTGTGTGTGATGGTCTGCTGGGAATAATGTCAAATTGTCTGTTAAGCAAAACTCATTACATAATGTCAACACAATTACTACACATTGTGTATAGATGTATATGTTATGTAATATAATAGGTGGATTCCCCTGATATCAGAATCAGAATTACTTTATTAATCCCTTGCGGGGAATCCTTTTTTTTGCAGTGCACCCATTTACAGAAGAAAACATTTGAAATAAATAAACTTTACAATCAACAGTATCAACAACCCTGCTCAGTGTCTAAATTACTGAGGAGGAGCCTTTTCTAATGCAACTAACATAATATTTTTAGTCCTCCATATGCAGTGACATTTAAATGAAGGTGAATGAAAGGCCAGACTAAATAATTTAGTAAACATCTGTTTAATTTCAATGCAGCTTGTAAAGATGAAATTATGATTATCATAATGTGTGAAATATGATAACTAGATTTGTTTTCTAATCCTGCTAGGTTATGGCATTCAACTTGTCTTCAATATATCAGGATTCACTGCACTGAAAATTAACATGAATGCTCTGTAAATATTTGTGAATTGTAAAAGGCATCCACATGTTTTTTTTATGTGAACACATAGATACATCTGACTCCAGCTGTTTCCCTCTCAGAAACAGTTACTGTTTCTTTCATGATAAAGAATGTTGATATTCCTGCATAACACCCAGAAAGAGCCCAAGATATTGATCAAAATGTGAAAAACTTTTGTTCTCACAACTTCTTTGGTAATTTCTTAATCAACCCTTCTTAACAATAAATATAAAGGTGAGGAGAGAGAAATTGCTTTTTGGCTTTGCTTGGTGGGGGGCTTGTGGGAATCGTGGTGTTTCTACAAGCCGTTTTCAGCAGGGAATCATCACTCTAAACACAGTGGATGCTTTAGGTTTCAGCATTGTGTCGGCTCCCACCTTGAGTACCTTTAGATATATCATGTTATAGCTGGAATGAAGTTTTCCTCCAGTGATTGTGTTTTCTTTAAACCTTATTCAATTCCAACTCGCTTTAGCTTCATTACTCTGGTGTATTGCTGCTGTAACTGGATGAAAAATCCATGAAAAACTGCTCGCTTAACAATTGATCTGTCTGTATTCTGAGTAGTGGAGTAGGTAGATGTAAAATGCTCCCAGGAATGTGCAGGCAAAGACTTACTGTTCATGGGTAAAATTTTCTGTTTTTTGTGTTCTTATTTTTGTGGGACAACAGAATATAACATTGATTGCATTGATGCAAGAAAATTTCAGTTTGAGCAAACCTGTGGTGTGTCTCACAAACCGGTTTTTCATCTCCCCATGTCAAAAAAAGACTAACAAATAAATATTAAGCATTATCTCCAAGATGTCAACATGCAAGAACTCAGACCTAAGGAAGCGATGATATTCAGAATGCCCAACGCACACTTAAACACGGAAAACAAAAATAATGCAGTAAATAAAGACACTGAAGAATTCAGTGTCTTTTAGAGACTTGAGCTTTAGCCTAATGAGCTCTCCATGCACTCCCATCCCCTCTTCAAAGTCTATGGGCTTTACAATTGTAAAGCCCAATTATACAATTATACAATACAATTATTTTATGACAGAGAACTCAGGAGGTGTTTTAAGAGGGAATTGGGGATCTGAACCTATGTGTGAAGAAAAAGAAACATACACAAAACAACACTTACAATTTACATGATCAGAGCAGTGCTAAAAACGCTTAATCCAATATTTTTAGGAAAGATTACTGGTGGTTTTAAACAAATACTTTATAGTCCCTGCCTTTCTCCACTGTGAGATCAATAAAGCTTATCTTATCTCATCTTATCTTTTGTAGTTGTAAAGAAACATGCTGTGTTTTGGGAGCTGAGGCAAAGCCATCGTACTGTAATTTTCTCTTGACGAATATTTGCCAAGAAACAGTTTCAACAGACAGCCAGGTTAAAATCTCCAAAATTGTAATTAATTTACGTGACAACACTAAGGCCTGTTTCTTTCGCTGAAACTTCTTTAGCTCAGATCCACTGGGTCCAGGCAGAGGGGCCAGGGGTCAGCAGCTGAAGTCCCTGATGATTAACTAGCATTTCCCCCATTGGTATGCTTTCAAGATCAGCTCTTGTGCCCCCTACTGGCCAGAACACTAACAGATGTGGAACAATAACATACAAATATTTTCACTTTTTAAAGAAATTATACTAGAAACAGAAGAAAATAACTTGATTTTCTACATCATCCTTGTTCACTGAATTAGTAACTGTGCCCATATCATCATTATGAAATACAGTAATACAAAGTCTGTAAATGCATTTAGCTATGCATCATACTTATTCAATCTGTAAAAGGGGAAAGGTTAATAAAACCTGTGTGCATGTGTGTGTGTGGTTCATTAAAGAAAATTCCTAGGGGCCGCCCAAATCTGAGGTTTTCCTGTAACCTTAAATCCAAAAGTGAGCTGTTGTTGAGTGAGTGCTCCATCTTCGAGAAGAGAAGAAGTCCAAAGCTGCACAAACCTGTGAGGGATCCTGCCGGTCAGTTGTATAACAGGAACCGCCATGTTGTCACTTTCCTGGAGAACATGTACAGCAAACGATCCATCTGCTGCTCCAAGATAAAAGTCAAGGGGCACGTGCGGCCCAACGGACAAGAGATGTGGTGATAAGACGTTTGAAGAACAAAACCAAAATCCCAAACTTTTATTCTACACAGAGCCACAAAAAATAAATAAAAATAATTGAGTGCAATTGATAAGGGAAAAATAAATACCGTTGTACTTGCCCTTTTTGTAAAATCCCTGGGAGAAAAAAAGAGCCCCCAGGTGTAAAAATATGACAATGAGAGTTGTAGATGTCAAAGGATTTAATTTTAAGATATTGCATAAAAGACAGAAAAAAATACTTTCCAATTTTCTATAAAAAGATGCTGTTGATTTCAAAAGCAGATTAAGCAGGTGCCGTTTTATTTTTAGATGCTGAGGCTGGTTTCTGAATATACAGTAGAACCTCTACTTACGATTGCCTAAACATACGAATTTTCCAACATTCGAAGTGCAATTCCATTAAATATTTGACCCAACACCCGAATTAAATTTCCAACATATCATGTCGAAGTAATAGAAAAAAAAAGAAAATACAAAAATGAATTCAAAATTAATAAGCTAAGTTAGTTTAAAGTTCCAGCAGTGAAAGTTTAAGTAAGTTACGTTACGTACTTTATCTCAGTCACCCCCTCTACCTTCATACCGACCGTCTCCTCCGTGTCCTGCATCGCCATGCCTACACCTCCGTTCGCCAATAAATGCCAATAAAAAACCCTTTTTGTTTTGATTATTTCTTTATAATTTCTTTCTTTTTACATCTCTCTTATATAATGCATTTGTTATATTGCTATGTGTAATTATCGGCAGTATTTATTAAGGAGTTATCGTTGGTTTTTGTGCTGTGGAACGAATGATCCGAATTACAGTGTATTCTTATGGGAATATTTGAACCAACAAACGAATATTTTGGCATACGAAGTAGGTCCAGGAATGAATCAAATTTGCATGTGTTCTACTGTATGTTCTTTTTTTGTATGTAAAATCCAGTCAAATTTGTCACAATGAAGATCTTTAGATATTGATGTGTTGTTATCTTGCAGGAGAAAGAACCTCAGTGGTTGAGACATCGAAGGATGAGAGCCAGGAGAGGCTGCACACAAAAAAAGGACATGCATATACTTTCAGATAATAAGGATCTATGTGGTGTTATTATCAATATGGACTTAAAATCGTGAATGAGAAGAATATCGAATGCCTGAATACTATCTTCGTAAACAAACTGGACCTCTGCTGGTAGAGCTGACAAATCTCAGAAATCTAAACGCACACCATTACAAGTTTAAGTTAACAAAAAGTGTTTTTGCAATCTGATCATTAACAATCAACCACAATCTGGTGACATACGGATGGACGTCTAAAACTCATGACTCACTTTTTGTGGAGCTGTGGCTTTGTGTCCTGTGACCATTTGGCACATGATGATATGTTCCAGAAGGATGACTTGGATCATAGACAGGATGGAGCTGTTGTCAGGCACTTCCAGCCTGTGGAGGCAGATCAGACTCGGTTTGTTCATTCTGCCACTGAGGAAGAACAATCAGTTATCATATTCTGCCAAAGCTGCTCTTAATCTTCTCCAAAGGCACAAGCTTTGTTTGGGTACTTCCATACATTTTCCACCCTGGAAAACCTACCTGCCTAATGTGAGCGCATTACTGCCATATTTTGAACGCCACAAACATTACATGTGTTTTTGTCTTACAGATTTGGAGATTACACATTTTTAGAGGCTGTTCAAGAGCAACAAAACCTTGAAGGGCACACCAACAAACACCTGTGCTGCTTGGGGGGCAAGCTGATTGGTTATGGAAGGATATCATCATTCTCCAGAGTTGAGATTGTCCAGATCCACTGCTTCAGACCTGGCCTAAATTAAGAACTCACAATTTATATATGCAAAAATAAGGACAATTTCTTGTTAAAAATCAGTTTATAGGCCCTGCGATGGACTGGCGGACTGTCCAGGGTGTACTCTGCCTCTCGCCCATTGACCACTGGGATAGGCTCCAGTTCTCCCCGCGACCCCATTAGGGAATAAGCGGTAATGATAATGGATGGATGGATGAAAATCTGTTTATATTCAAGCACATTTCTATCTAGAAACCAACTAATAATGCGCAATATCATTTTTCATACAATGCAAATACTATTTTACATCCTGATCAATGATCACACTCCTTTCATAAATGTTTTATTCAGAATGAAACATAGAAAATATATGATTTGGTGAATTTTACTATTTCAAGAAAAGTACTGCCTCATTTTAAATGTGATGGCCGCAACGTCTTACGTTTGCTGGGCGTTTGGATTGGGATCGCTGTTACATGTCTTTGTAATGCAGCAGTGTTGCTGCTCATCTGTCTTTTTGTTCTGTGTTTTGAGACTCACTGAGAAAGTAAGTTAGAGCAGAAACACAAATCTGTGTGCAGTCTGTCTGTGATCTGTTTACATTGTGAAGTATGATCCCATGACTCTTGCATAGTCTGCACCCACTCCCGGGGGTCACAGGCAGAAGATAAATACTTTACTAAAGCATGCGGTTGCTATCACTTACATAAATAGAACAAGCTTAAAATCAATTTACCAAACATAATGAGCATGTATTGCATAATGCTTCTTACTGCCAACAGAAAAAGGACATTCTGACATGGTCAAACTTGTTTACTTATATGTGCCCAACACTTTTTATTGTTATTATTATTATCATTATTATTATTAGTAGTAGTATTATTATTATTATAGGAACACATGTGATGATGCGTGCTTCTAACTGTTGGCCATAGATGTCCTACAATGATACTTGCAGGTTCACATTTGACGTCCTCAGATCTCCTGCCATACAAAGTTGGATAGATGTTATACGACCAACACTTCTTAATAAAACATGCATGACCATAAGGGGATGCATTGCTTCTGAGTAATTGTTTATTCATTTGTAGACATTTTTAGACATTTAATGTTTATCAATAGGGATGTGTGCTATGAAATACAAAGAAATTAATTTAGCATCAGCATTACAATTAGTGTTATTAGGCTGTGAATTGGTGTTGTGAGCATAACATAATCCTACATAACTTACATTTATGTTTATCACGTATAATGTTTAATCATTTACATGTGATATACTATATCACACTTTGAAACACAGACTGCTCACTCGCTAAACCAAGCTTTGGAAGAGCCAGGAGCATCTGTGCTCACTGGCATCTCAAGTTTTTTAAAACTAAGACCATAGCAAATTGGCCCGATTTCTGATTGACTTACAACTGTTGACTGTTGTACTTTAACTCATTTTAACTTCCAGTTGTTTTTGTTTATTGTTTTTACTTGGCTTATGGGAACTGTTGCTGTGCTAACTCAACGTTAAAACCGTGTGTCCACGGTGGATATTTGCACATTATTTATCATCTTGATAGCATGTTTGCTGACAAAATTCTGGACTTGATTTACTTTAAATTCCAAGTTTTAAAAAATGCTTTTCAGGAACTAATGTTTTTTAGTCTGTGTTTCTACATTACAAATATAAGGGTTGGACATTTGGCGTCATTTGCTATTCACAACTCAAAGCTCCCTTTCGCAGAACCCGTTGAAAACAGCTGTAGCTACGACGAGTGCGTAAATCCATTCATACAAACGGAGCAGGTTTGCTGTCACTGGGCGGAGGTAGCGCTTAATCTTTTAATATAAACATATGAAGAGGCTTTAAAAGATAACATAATATGAAACAGATCACGTTGTTGAACCTTAACCTTATAAACTTTAACGACAGCTGGGGAAAAGCAAAACGTCTATTAGCTAACAGCTAACGTTATCTCGCTATCTCCTGAGCATCACTGATTAAGCTCTGTACAATTCACGTTTTAAATGCATCCATTTTCTTTTCCCTTTACAGTGAAGACATCCTAATTGGTAAAATGGCGAAAAAGAGGATCACACAAGAGACATTTGATGCCGCAGTCAGGGAAAATGTGGAAGAATTTGAGATGGACCCTGATGAGGCTCTGAGGGACGCAGTCGAACAATTTGAGTCTCAAGGTAAATATTTATGTTCAGATATCTGACCTCAAACACACAGAGAGGTATTAACAACAACAAAAAACGCCATGTAACGGTTCATAACTGATCATATACTATCAATACACTGACGTACGACCTATGGCTTAAATCTGAATCTTATAACTATAATATAGTTTAATTGTATGGAAGAACTTCTGAATTTAACACATTTTCACCATTCAAATAAATAGATTGTCTTGTTCTTTACAGTAAAGTTGGATGGAAGGGAAACTGGGCAAGACAACTCCAAAACAAATGTCAATATGAGGCGTGAAACAAATATGAAAAAATGCAACATGACCAAAGAAAAATCAAACATACGTAGTATCCGAAACATTTGTTGTTGAATAATTGTAATCTGGTTGTTTTAGGCCATGGTAAACTGTTAAATCGTAAGAGGGTAGAATGGTAGAACGAGTGGACTCTTTGACACATCTTTTACACATCTGGGTTCCATAAACTATTCATGATTGAAGCTCTCTGTGGTAGTCTAAACCAAAATAACTGCGTTTAAATGGAAAGCTAGTGTCACGGGCGGTGGGTGTTGACGGGAGGACTCAGGTGCGGAGATGAGGGGAACAAGGTTTATTGAACAAAAACAGGGTGAATGTCCAGACAAAGTACAAAACAAAGCTGTGGCAAACTGTGGGCAAAGTATCAAAGCAAGCAAACAAGACTGTGGAAAAACTATGACAAAGTAACAAAATAAAGATTAACAAGACTATGACAAAAACGTGACTATGACTGTGGCTGTGGCAGAACTATGACGAAACAAACCTGGCGTGGGGGTGACGACGGACGAAAGGACAAGAGGCAAGACAAGAGGACAAGAACGACCCCGCACCAGACAAGGGGAAACGAGGACTATTTAAACACATGAGGGAGGGAAACCCCAGGTGTACACAATAGGTAATCAAGACGAGACATTCCCCCAGGCGTGACAGCTAGAAATGCCTCTTTAGTTAATGGACCAGTGGCCCACACATAAAGTAAGACTTCAGAACTTAATGTAGTCTCATATGCCCTTTATCAGCTATACTATTGTGATGAAAACCCACCAATGGGAACACCTTTTTTTTTTTTTTTTTACATAGTGTCTCCGGTACACTTCCGATATGTTTACAGGCTTACCACTGAAATCTCATGTGTTATAATGCAGGTGTGGACCTCAGTTGTATAGTGCAAGCTGTACCAACAGCATCATCTAATGATAATCAAGAGGAACCAATGCATGAGGTCCTACAGGTGAGCTTTGACCTGTTTAGAGAACATGGATGTATTTCTGCCCATGATCATTTTGTCAACATGCTTACCTGTTTCCCCTCTTGCAGGCTTTAGAATCTCTCAGAATTGGAAAAGACTCCGCTTCTGTGTCTGAGGTGACAGAGGACATGAAATGCTTCGTCTCGCAGTGTTCTCTCGGATTTGCACAGCGGTACCTGGCGGCTCAAAAAGATGCCTACCCCATCATCTTCTCCTATTGCAAAAAGAGTTTGGATGAGCGGGATGCTGTGCTTGTTGTACTATCGGCTCTGGCTGCGCTGACAGACGGACAGCCCGACCTGCTGGACGCAGAGGGCCGGCAGTTCCTTTTAGACGTCCTCAACAAGTACCAGGCGGACACCTCGGTGATGCGTGTGGCCATTTGCGCGGTGCGTCACTGTTGCTTAAAGCATGAACAGAACCGGCAGGATTTGGTCAAAGCTGGTGTCCTGCCGCTGCTGACCGCTGCCATTACACAACACCGTGGCTGTGCTGAGCTGGTCAAGGAGGCCTCCGCTGCCCTCAGGTTCATGACTTTTGACGACGATATCCGAGTCCCGTTTGGGCAAGCGCACGAACACGCCAAGATTATCGTACTTGAGCACAGTGGACTGAAGGTCTTAATCGATGCTGCTAAAGGTGAGACCAGCCCATGACTTGTTTGTTCAGTACTTTTGGTCAGAAACACCCTGCTAACACTTTTTTTGTAACCCCAGAGAGCTTTAAACATTTGACACAGTCATTATGTGTTCTGTCCTCACAGCTCACGTTGGTAATACTTCAGTTCTGAGTGAGCTGTGTGCAGCTTTATCCCGCCTGGCTGTTAGGAATGAGTTTTGTCAGGACATCTGCGATCTGGGCGGATTAAAATTCATGATGACATTGCTCGCAGACAACTATGAATCACCGGTAGAGTATTAAAAAAACAACGGTTGCGATACAGACAAGCTCACGATCCAGCTTATTTATGTGTTGTTCTCACTTGAAGGTTTTTGCCCTCGCAGGAGTTGGTCCGGCAGGTCCTCGGGGCACTACGAGCCGTGGCCGGGAACGATGATGTGAAAGATGCAGTTGTGGATGCTGGTGGAGTTGAGCTCATCGTCATTGCCATGAACAGGCACACGAGCAATCCTGCAGTGAGTCATCACATCTGGACAGGACATGGCTTTCATAACAATGAGTTTTAGCATGGTTAGAATGTGGAATTGCTCAATTTGGGATAGAAAGAAATGCAATAGACATTTTCATACTCTGCTGCAGGTGTGTGATCAGGGCTGCGCGTGCCTCTCCGTCCTTGCCTTACGCAAACCCAATAACTGTAAAGTCATCATGGAGAACGGGGGCGCCATGGCTGCCGTTCAGGCTATGAAGGCTCACTCTAATGTGGTCAGCGTACAGGTAACTTGGTGCCATTCTTTCCCCTGCTGAAGAACACAGAGCATGTCGCCAACGCTGCAGCTCTCTGTGTCTCTGATTTTTTTTTTTACCCTTGATTAACAGAAACAGGCGTGCATGCTGTTGAGAAACCTGGTTGCACGAATGCAGAACTTCACCCAACTCATCCTGGACATGGGAGCGGAGGCTTTGATTGCTCAGGCGGTGGAGACACATGAAGACTGCGGGGATGTGGGTAAAGCGGCCCTCCGAGATCTGGGATGTAAGGTGGAACTCCGAGAGCTGTGGACGGGAAAACGCACCGGCATTACCAACTGAACACTGCAGATCACAAGCACATACTTTACAATATCGACTTACTCTGTCTTCAGACAATAGCAGTAGATACAGGTACACCCTCCTATCTATAGACATTTATACTGTGTAATTATTGTTTAATGGCCACCAGTGACACACAAAGACTATTGTCCACAATTCAAATAACTCCAAAAAGGCGTTGTGAGACTTTGTGTTATTTTATTTTTCTATATTTGCAACACTTATGTTTATAAAGTGGATTTTTTTGTCTTTTGTGCCATGGATTAAAATATTAAAATCGACTCTTTTGCTGCTATGCACTGTACAAATTCATTTATTGGCACACCCAAATTTAAACATTAATTGTCAGTCCTGTACTGCTTCTTTCTTCCATTTCTATTTTTTTAAAGATCCATCGTTTAGTTCAAATTTTTAAAAAGATTTTTTGTGTTCACCTTTCCAGGCTCTGTTATACTTTTTTGTAGATGCACAGCCATGGTTGGATCTAAGCTCTCTTCATTTGGTCAAAAAGAGAGTAAATCTTTGTGTACAATCCAGACTTTTAGATGTTTGTTAAGTACATTCTGGGTGCATCCCAGTTGTAAAGAACCTTTGTGTGATCTTTCACAGTGCCTTCCAATTTGACACTATCCAGTCTATTACTATTGGCTTTTTCCAAATAATTTTGCATAGTTATAATGCAATTGTTGTTATTTTATGCTCAGCAGTTTTATCTTTGAATGTTTACCACTGTTTTAGAGGGCGGTTATTATATTTGTTGGACTTCGCACTTTGATGAGCTGTGGTTGTTTTTAAATATACAGTAGAAAAATAACTTGACTGATCTACCGTACAGTGGCACTGTGTGTTTTTCTTTTTTGTTCCTGTATAAAAAGGATGCATAAGTAACACTGTCAGATTTTCAAAGTTTTCAACTTCTAAACCAGAAAGAAATAGCCAGAATAAACAAAAATGGAACAGCACCGACTTTGAGGTATTAGTGGATTTCTTTCACTGAGCAACGCTTTCATGAAATTCATTAAAAGACGTGTGTGCCTGGATTGTCTTGCTCACATTTTCTTTTAGTATTAGCTGATTTAAAATTTCAGCAAAATCGCCAATCTGCCCGGTATCTGATACAATTTAATGCCGATATTACCACTACATTTAGTTTTATTGATGGGATCAAGCTTTTTATGTTGAGGGATTTCTCAATCCTCTTTTTAAGATAAAAAAATTATTTATTCACAATATATCTTAACAGACTTATCAGTTATGGATATGAGGCCCTTAGTACCTCAACCTGCATTCCTTTTAGGGCTCAGACTGATACACATCTTGCTCTGGGAGTGGCGTTTGTTTTCCAGCTGCTTCAGGGGACATTTTATCATACCACAGCCTGTCTGACTTACCTATCCAACTAAGCAACAAGATCTCTCCGTGGTCCTCAAGTAATCCATACTATTTGTGTATATACACAATTCTATATAAAATGTAATGCATATTATAGTTTGAAAGGTTTTTGTGTAGTATATTCAAGAGCATACTTAGGTTGTGAAAAATTATTAATTCTGTTGAAACATTTCTGTCTTTCTGACGGTCAGTCTGATAAAAACATTTCTATTCTCGGTAAAATATGTTCTAACATACATTCCATCTATCGATGCTGAAGTTGCTGATACGCAGGGAAAATAATTTGATGTACTTCACACTGGGGGAAAAAAAGATATTTGAGAATCCCAGTAGTCGCCAAGCGCGAGCCCAACACACGCCCCTCCAAACGACCTATCCAAACGTGCCCCACCTCCCTCAGACTTCATCTCCCATAATGCCGTGGTGCTCGTCCTTGTCAAACTTGACGGTGGCCAAGCTACCACCTCGGATGGCTGACAGGCTAGAGTAGTAACGGCAGAAATACAGCAGCTTGGAATGTGTCTGTCATAAAGTCACTGTTTTGCAGTTAGATTAACGAATTGTCAATAAAACAGTGCCTTTAATTCCATGACATATTTTCTTTTAGCACTCAACTTTACGGCAATCATCTCCACCACACAGTTGACGAGAGTAACACAGTGGGTAGTGTAGCGATAAGCTAACAGCTAGCTTACGTTACTTAACCTACCATTTAGCTAACTTCAAAACATTTTCAGAGCAACGCGCTGACGACTCGAAACAACCAAACAAAACAAGGGAGCAATATCAAGGCATAAGTCTTCGTGCTTGTGTCAGGGTTATAAGGTAAGATATTTTGTGTTTGTTGCAAATGACAGTTTTGTGACTGAGCAGACTGACTGTGTTTTGTTCATTGACAAGTTTAGACGAGGCTGGTGCACCCAACCACTCGGATAGAATGAGGGAGAAGCATGACTATTATTCTGAGTAGCTGCCTGATACAGATGCAAAGATACTGTGCCGTAAGCATGCCCAGATTAATTTTGCCTTAGGGCTGTGCTTGTACAATTAATTATAAAAGACATGACTTGTTTTGGGAAATAAAAGCTTACGTCGTGTTTGAGTTGCTCGATAAAAATGAAACAGGCAAATGGAACTAAATATTTTCGGCAACAAAAGGATCTCGATATATAACCCAATTCATTTTAGTGACAACAAACAATAGATTGATTACTTGAATGTGGCCATTGGCTTTATGTAGTAAGCTGGAATTCTGCACTGAGGCATTTGTATTGTATGTCGGTCCAATAATAATAATAATACTATAATAATAAATATACGATATACAACATTTTTGTTAACAGATCATAAAACATCTAAACACCAATTATTAAATGTATTATCTAATAGATTACCAGTTGAATAGACAGGTTTAAATATTTAAAGAAAATGGCTCTGACTTGTTGAACACTGTATACCTCTTTATCATAGAGAATTAGCACTCAGCCCTGCTTAGATAAGTTTTAAAGCAAGCAGTAATGCAGAAGAAAGTGTAAAATGATATGCATGTAGAAGAAGGCTGGCGGAGGGTTAAGGGAATGGGTTTCAAAGAGGACAATGGATGGGGCTTGGAGGAGCTGCACCAAAGATCACATTTGAGGCCCTCTTGTACTGATGCCAGGTTAGTTGCCACAGACTACTCAGAGGATCAGGAGACAGTGACTTTGCACAAATTTCTCACGTCTGTTTTGATTTTCGAATATCTTAAGTATTGCAAAAGCCCTGGACTCTGAGTTGGCTTTAAACACAGATTTTATTAAAGAGGAAGTATGAATAGAACAGAAATATTTAATTGATGATCAATTAATGACACAATAGTTTCTGCTTTTAGTTTTCTTGCCAGAATTTTTTATAGTAAAAATATGTATAAAAGAAAATGTAAAGCTGGCAAAGAACTTTTCAATCTGTCACAATGTTTATGAGCTCTGTTGGAGGTTGAACTCATTTTGTAGCTGACCGGCTCATAACTGTTTACTGTTGTGAACTTTTCTGTCTCATCATCAGTCGAGATCAAGCTGTAAGTGGGTCATGTTCTAGACAAACAATAGACATTTCTGGGAAAGGTTGTTATGCTTTTTTCATCTTTTTAACAATGTAAACTAAATAATTCCTAGTATTCCTATTATGATTCTATTTGGGGAACATTATAAAGCCCTCTCACTTTAATGTAATATGCTGGACATAGGAACAGCATACCTTGATGTAACATTCCCCATAAACTCACTGATTTCTTTGACAATTTTCATTTGCTAAAAGAGAACTTTAAACATAGAAATCGTGTCCGGTCATGCTACTCTTTTATATCTACAAATGTTAATCCTTTTTTTCAGTTATATATTATACCTAGTGGAATGTTTGAGTGCTGCTTGGCTTTAGCACTAGTCTTAAACAATAAAGCAGTTTAGGGGTTAAAGGTTGAATCAATGGGTGATTTGTGTCCTGAAATGATTAGCTTATTGAAAGACATGGGCATGCCTTTGTTTGTAAAAGTAGTGAGATCACTCTAAACAGTGTTTTCCTCTAATCTTGAAGTCTTTGCTGATTAGATAAGCATGATAGTGTTGATGGTGGGAAGTGGTGATAAAGGTGAAATGTGACATACTGAATGGGGTCAGCATAGAACTTGAGCTGCTCAGATTTGAGCCTTTCACCTACAAACCCTCAGCTCTGTCCTCCAAGAGATTTATTTCTGTTTTGGCCTTAGATATATTTGTTCTCCTTTGCTCTTTTTTTAGCCGCTGCTGGTTTGGCGGTTGGATTCACAGAGTGGATTATTCTCCAGGCAACTATTTGGTCGAGGTATGTGTTGTATCAGGATTTCTTTTTAAAGAATCCGCCCTCTTGTAGTCATCCCATACTGACATGACGCTGCACTGGGCTGAACGGGGATGAAAACACGCTGGAACCAATCAGTTATCTCTGTTTATGGTTTACCGTTTCCGCATGATGATATTCTCCTTGATGCAGAATCAGATTTGTCGGCAGTGTGTCCATGACAGCTCTTGAAGTCATGCTTTTCAATTGACCCAGATACAGTTTCACAGTAACAAGAGAGTACGCTTAGCCAGCTACATAGCATGCTTGTTTTATTTTTAGGCTAACTTAAAACTGACCTCTGTTTTTTTTTTTTTTGTTATGACCTCTGTTGCTCCTAGCTCCTGGTGGCACTGCCCCCCCCCCCCCCCTTCTCCCTCTCCACCTCCTTGTGGATTGAATTCATGAGCGTGCACAGTGTGTAGTCTGTGGGGATGGGGACTGGAGTCCAGGAGCAGCGGGCATCACTGACGCAGGGAGAAGGCCTGCCGCTAGCCTCTTCTGGTCAGTCAGAAGGGAGCTATGAGGTAAAGTCTCAAGCACGCTCTTCACTTAACACGTACGATAATATAGGAAACGAAAATAGAATTAATCCGTGTTTTAACGTGAAAAATAATAGGATGCTAGACTTTTACCTTTTGCCAGCTTGTTGCTCAGTTTTCACCATGACAATAGATTGAATTTTTTTTAAAGTTGTCTTGAAACTTTCTCCAGCCAGGTTTTTTTTTTAAAACAACTTGATAATATTTTTGTCATCAGCTTGTACAGTTTTTTTCAAGCACAAATGCAGTGCCACAAATATGTCAAGTTTCCAACACACTGTGTTGTCTAGATTGCAAATTAATTAAAAGCCTTTGAGACATTCAGAAACTCTGGATAATTATTTTCAAGACTGATTTTTACAATAAGGAGAAAGTCTGACTCTTTAGAAACAAATAGAAAGATTTTAAGGGTAACTTGTTTGACAGGCTAATGCCCACTGCGGTTTAGTAATTAACATCTTGTGTGTCAGGTTTAGGGATTATCCTGATGTAAGTCTTACTTAATGTTCCACACAATGCCAAACAGCTCTGTGGATGTAAATACCCAGTTAGAAAATGACTTCCTTCACTGTAGCTGTTGGTGACTTGCTGTTGTGATTCTTCCATCTCCGTGCAGAGCATCAAGCAAACTCGGTCTGTCGTCAACTCGCTTTTCTCCGGGGCGATAGCTGGAGCTGTGGCCAAGACAGCTGTAGCCCCGCTGGATAGAACTAAAATCATCTTCCAGGGCAAGTTTGATTTTTCTGTTGACCTAAAAGTGTTTTGACATTGGAAATTACCTGAATCCACGAAATGGAATCATATGCTGTGATATGTTGCTGGGGTAATGGCTGGATTTATGGGACAGGCCTCGCCATCGTTATTCACGTGTTCACATTTTGTCGTTTTCTTTTAGTGTCCTCAGCAAGATTCTCTGCCAAGGTACATTTGAACAGTATCAACTTATATGTTGTTATGTTTCTCATCTAGAAGTTAAGATTCATGGAAATAGATGATTTCAAACCAAGCATAGAGTAAAGACATATTTATGCATTACAGGAAGCTTACAGATTGATCTACCGCACCTACCTGAAAGATGGCTTTTTCAGTCTGTGGAGAGGGAACTCAGCCACCATGGTGCGCGTCATCCCGTATGCAGCCATCCAGTTCTGTGCACATGAGCAGTACAAGAGGCTGCTGGGGGGCTACTATGGCTTTCAAGGGAAGTAAGTGTTGGTTTTCTAAGCTTTTTCTGAACTTCTGTTTTGTTCTGTCATAAGGATAAAAACTAAATTTCCTCCAATTTCCTCTTGGTCTTCCTAGAGCCCTTCCTCCAATCCAAAGGTTGCTGGCTGGGGCGATGGCCGGTACCACGGCAGCCATGCTGACCTATCCTCTGGACATGGTGCGAGCTAGGATGGCTGTAACGCCAAAGGAAATGTGAGGACATTTGCACTTGCTAATGGATATTTAACATGAAATCTGTGGAGATTTGGTTATCGACTGCCATGCTAAAGTGTATTTTATATAAGATTCGACACATACAGAGATGTCTCTCATGAGTCATGGTCATTTGTTTTTACTTCCTTCCCTCCATGTGCCCAGTTCTTATGCTGCTTACTTTTAAGAAATATGAAAGGCGTTACCCCATTTGTTCTCAGATTCTCCTTCCCTGTACCAAACAATCATATGGAGGGAACGGTGGCAGATGCTGATTATTACTCGTGTTCGAACCACAACAAAAAGCCTCGTTAACACGTGTTCTTTGTATCTATGTTTAGGTACAGTAACATAATGCACGTTTTCGTGCGGATCTCGCGAGAAGAGGGCCTGAAAACCTTGTATCGAGGATTCACGCCGACCATACTGGGTGTTGTCCCCTACGCTGGTCTCAGCTTCTTCACCTATGAAACTCTGAAGAAGATGCATGCAGGTAGGAAATGTGCAACCGGCTGTATTCGTCTGAGCCCAAACACCAGATGCATGTGTAAAATGTGTCTTCTTCACGTCCTCCCCACGCAGAGAAAAGTGGCCGCCCGCAGCCGTACACCTATGAACGTATGGCTTTCGGAGCCTGTGCTGGTCTCATCGGCCAGTCGGCCTCCTACCCTCTGGACGTGGTAAGACGGCGCATGCAGACGGCCGGCGTCACAGGTCACACCTACGGCACCATCCTGGGTACTATGAGGGAGATCGTCTCTGAGGAGGGGTTCATCCGCGGACTGTACAAAGGTCTCAGCATGAACTGGGTCAAGGGACCCATCGCTGTGGGTATGAGCTTCACGACCTTTGACCTCACGCAGATTCTCTTGCGCAAACTGCATCAAATGGGCTATACTCGATAAAAGCGAGCAGGTCCCTTAAGGCCTTCTGAGTTTGAACAAGGATGAGGAATTGAGTGGATGAAGAATGTTCGCCGCTGGATGGAAGCAACAGCACAGCAACTCAGGATGTGAGGGTGATATCAAGTTGTTCTCTTGATGCGCAGGTGTGCATCAGGGGGTAAGGAGGATGTATAGAGGACCTGGAGTCGAGTGCAATATGATGAAACATCCTATGTGTGTGCACCTAAATTGTAACTCTAACCCCAGAGAACCAGATGTGAGAACATTTATACGAGAATCAAGAGGCATGCACGCTCTGATGTATGCTGCAACAAAAGTGATGCCAAAGGTTTCGATTCCAACTTGATGCACATGATATGATGCGAGTAATTCTTAAGGATGGCGTGACATTTGTCGGCCCAGAGCTATAACGCAGTAACATCAACTAATCAGTTGGTTTTCTTTCAGTTGACAGTAGTAGTTTCTTACTTGATTTAAGACTAAATGCACAACTGTAGTTGTGGTTTAACTATAGATAAACTCAACTTTATGCCAGTGCCAACACATTTGAAGTAGTACCAGTGCGTGTTTAGTTTTTACGATTGTGTTCCCTGTAAACATGCCATTGGCTTTTCGCGCGATTGTAAATTCTGAGCTGAAGCACCGGTACAGATTTCACCGCTGACACTGCCGTGCTGAGCGATGCACAACAACAAACGGCGTGTTGGTAGTTCTCCAAATGTGAGCTCTTGTTCTCTAACAAGTAGTAGAAACTGCACTATGGGATGTAATCCAACAGCAGCCCCTCTGTGAACACTGCCTTTGTGATGTCTACACTGTCACATCGCTGCTGTCACCGTGTGAGAGGCACTGCCTTAGATATATGGCCATTTTCTTTTATTTTGTGAGGTGTTTTGGGTTTAGAATAAATCGAGGCATTTTAAATGTTTTAATCGTTTGACAGAGTGCATACAGTATATACAGATATTGTCTTCCATTCGCCATCAGTGTGACGGCTGCATGGCATGTCTCAATACCTGTTTGGTTTTCGAATAGAAAAAGATGTGGTTCACATAGAGCTGTAGCAGTAAGTGGTAACGGAATAACTAAACTGGAAATATGCAAGCATCGTCGGAGTGTTCTAGTCCAGCACGTTTGAGTGTTCTTGCTGTTGTAGTTTACTTCTGCACATAATGAGATGCTTTTGTCTTTGTCAGATATCATCGTTTTATGTAGAGTGGTGGCAAAAAAAAGGGACTGACCTTAGTTTGGCTGTAGGTACATTGGAGCCGTATCGACGTAGCCACTACAGAGGGTCACTGGCTTCTATAGGCTTCTATAGTTAGAGCACACATACCGAGGCAGAATGAGAGCGCTGAGTGAGTGAATGCAGAGCCAAATGAAGCAGCAGTGAATCATATGAGTCAAGAATACTCATATGATTATTATAATGAATACTCCCTTTTTTTAAAAACACCAGACAAAATCCCATAAAGTCGTAGTAGAGCACAGGATGATGTTTATGTTTTGAAATGTATCGCCTGGCCAAAACAAAAGTAATCTGAGGGAGGGCTCAGTAGGTGAGGCCTGGGTTCAAATATTTAGTGCGCCCAAATTAAAGTCAGCTGACTAAAGATCCCGAATAGTCCTGATGACGTTTTTCCTAATTTGAGATTCTTTCCAACTTTATGAAGGGAGTCGTTCTGTCCAGCTACAGAAGATGTTCTAATGTTACAAAGCTGAAGGGAGACAAACTAAATGTCAGACCTTTTCTGGTCAGTCGGCGTATTATTGGGAAAAGGATCCATTTCAGTATTCACTATTTTTGAATGATGCAGTGTTTTGGAAGTATTTGAGCACAAGGACAACTGATTAATGCAATCTGAGTCGATTTTAGATGTGATATTTCTTTTCACTACAATCACTGGGAAATGTACTCATCTGAAGATCTCAATTTAAGGACCTTCAATTTGTACTCGTACTCTAATTTCTACAGCTTCCTCTGTGAAGTTCTTAAAAGTCAGCTCCTCGGCCATCTTGTGTTGGAGCGATCATTAAGGAAGATGGCAAATTGGATTCTCCCAAATTCCCATTTTTTTCTTCTTCGATTTTTCTTTTTTTTTCTCGTTTAAATGCAAAAGAGATGCAGGACCCAGCTTTAGTCACTGATTTACATGAACTCACTGCCTTGCCCTAACTCGCCTCTGTCCGACTGACGATCCTCTTCCTCTCCCACTGCCTGTGGACATCTCGATTACTCTCGCACATCGTCCAGTGAGCCGAGCAGAGGATTGCTGGCAGAGCAGTCTTATCAGGTGCAACTGCGAGGTGGGATTTTGTATTTTTCTCGGCCCCTCATTTCCTGCCAGCCAGCACATTTGTCCAATCAGCTGCAGGTAACAGCAGCGCAGTGTTGTGATATCAGTCAGGAATCTTTAACCCTCTGCTCGCGTTTTTGGAGGGAACCTGTGGTCGGCCACAGCTCTGACGTTCTGAGCAGAGGGTTTTTGACGTTCGCTGCTTATTTCAAGGTAACTGAAAGCTGAATAAAGGGTAGTAACTTCTTCTCAAGTGCCTAGAAAGGAATAGTAATGATCTTACTATGACTAAACTAACTTTGATAGCTTTTTGGAAGGTCGCATCATTTTTCTAGCCTTCTCTCAGTTTCGACGTTCCATTTACGAGGCAGCAGATGTTTGACAGAGGTTTTAGGTGATTAAGGTGTTAGTTTGACCCCAATGACTGAATGTATTAACTTCAGGTCCAGCTTTTATACATGATGTTTGTAAAAGTTTAACTGCCTTGGAGAACATTTCTGTCTGGGGTGATGCATGTTTTTTTTTTTGTGTCTTTGTGTCTGGGCGTGGTTGAGGATAGTTCCCAGTTTATTCCAACAAGTTTTGGACACCTTTTTTAAGAGCAAAGACATATCTAAAACAGATGCCTGCACAGTTAGGTCAATGAAATGCCGAAAACGGAGACAGGCTATCAGTCAGACAATCTTTAAATGCCAAAAAGCTGTAAATTAACACAGCAGTTTAACAAGAAGAATAACTAAAACACTTCAAGAACGAACTACGGTACAAGCTGTGATTTAATTTGCCCTGGTAAAATCTGTTCTTTTGTTTGTTTGTGATTACTCCAGCGCAGACGTACACTGTTTGTATGTTTGTGTGTTACAGCAGATAACGCTCAGAAATTATTAAAAACGTGTTTTATTAATCCTAGTAATATGTGCCAATGAATGTAATATATTTACTAAGTTACCACACCCTGTGTCTGTTCTCTTGTGATCGCGGCGTGTCTGTGGGAATATTGTAAATATTCTAAAATATCAGATTCTTTAATAAAAACTGGATGTAGAAAACAGCTCTTTGCGTATGATTCAGCCTGTTTCCTATGGACTGTCTTTTAGTGGTGTGGACATTTGCTTTGATTAAGATTTTAACACATTTTAAGACAGAGGAGTCTTTTATTTGTATTGACATTTTCACCCACGAACTTTGACTGAAGTTAAAGTTTCTTATTATCATTAAAAGTAGAGACACAAAGATCCCAAGTCATTCTTTGTTTTAATTTTTTCATACCTTGTGGATATTTAAGAAAACCTGAAAATCCATCCTAAATAATTTCCATGAAAGATGATAAAGATGATAAATGTTCAAATAAAGACAAATCCAGAAATAATTTCTTGTAGACATTTAAAGGCTGGTACGAAGTAAGTCAACACAAAGCCTAGAAAACACGTGGATGAAAGAAAACAAAGGAACATTCAAAAAAAAAAAAAGTTTTTACTTTTTTTTTTTCTACATAAGACTTGTTTAGTTTTGACAGATTGTATGTGAGTGTACCGACAACATTTCACCACTAGAGGAGGCTCTATCCCCACCGCAGCCTCACCGCCTCAGGCTGTAATGTCGCCTTTGGCCAGCAGGCGGCAGCAGAGCACAACTCTGGCAGGACGCCGTTAATGGAGCCTCTGCCGTGCCCGAGGCCGTGTTGGCTCTTTGAACTTGACCGTGAATGCAACACAGGAAGCCATTGCTGAAAAACAGTCCCGACTAAATTGAATAATAGATTGAACAATCTCTAGTAGAAGTCTGAGGATTTATTTTTGAACGCATCTTTAGGGTTTTGCTAAGAGAGCACAGATGCTTGTTTTATTTAAGGGACATTAACTGGGTGTTTTTGTTCAGCCTGAATCGGATGAATTACAATATTCGTTGCAGTTTAGGTCTTAATGAACTGAGCAGGCAGTTCAATCTGGATTCTTTGTGCACATTTTTTTTTTTGGGAAGGTGGGGGAAAAAAAGCACCGGAAGAAAGGACCTATTGGGAAGACAGAGGGCTAATTAAGGAGTAAAGGCGGGAGGGAAGGAAGGAGGCTGTGGATGTAGTTGCTATAGCTACTTGGCATGATGCCGGATGGGCTCATTTGCATTCATTCAAATGATGCCTGCTCTCAGCTTTTCTCAGTTGAATTAAAGAAGCAGTGGAACCTTTTTCTCCCGCTTTAATTTGACCCTTTTAATCACTTAATTTCTTTTTAAGGCTGGCTTTTTTTTATTTTCATAGAAAACAGTTTCACAATATTTTATCTTCCCTCTGATGTAAGATATTTATGACGTGTTGAATGTGGGAGACTGATTAGTTTTGATAGCTCAGAGCAAATTCTTTTTTTTTTTGCAAGACAGCCTTTTTTGGAAGGAACTGTAAAAAATTGATACTTCCTTCTCCTCTTTGTTTTAGTCAAGTAACCTGAGAAAATAAAAGAAATCCTCCAAACCAAAATATATGCCCTGTGTGTAAACTGAAACTACATTTATTTTCAAAATTGAGGTCAGATGAAATAGAAGAACGTTAAGTGTTTTTCAAATTAAAAACAGCACATCTTTGTGCATTTTGAAAAATTCTTCAAATGATTTATTCACTATTTAGGTATGTATTTGAGTCAGGGATTGGGGGAGTGACTTACAGTGGCCTTGCTAACCATCTCTGGGCCTCTGCAATGAGGATTCGTGTTATTATTATTTTTTTGTAATGTTGCTGTCACGACTTTGCAAAAAAAAGTACAAAAATAATTTGCACAAAGAGCCATTTCATAAATGTAAAAAAATAAAATAAATAAATACAAATCTGAGAGACTAATTTGACATTTAAATGGTCTTATGTGTGTTAGAAGAATCGGCATTTATCTTTAACCAAAAAAAATGAGAAATTGTATGGTTTTGTAAGCATGATTTCTAGAGTACCACAATTTTATTGGAAACTCGCCAAATTTAACAATGGGCACAATATCAAGGACACCTTAAATATGAACAGAATCGTTGTTATTTTTTACTATCTTTAACTAAGATTGAGATTGACACTATGTAAAAATATCAATAGACACATTTTTTTAAATGGTCTTAACCTCAGCATCAGGTCACATCCTGTCCAACATTATATAGAAAAAGGAAAATGTGGACATGTATATATGAAAAACTGTATGAAATGTTCATATAAGCCCCAATGTTGCCTTATACAAAAGAAAAACACAAAATGAACTTCAATATTGATATATTAATATTTATTTGATAAAAACATCTGTTTGTTGGCACCTGCACACATTTGCAGGCACAAATGATGAATAGAAGAACATACATATATACATATCTATATGGTTTCAGTGGTAAATCGTAAAAAAGCAAGTTCTTCAGGCAATCAACAAAAATGTGATCGTTTGATTGAGTCTCTTAGTCAAATGAGGCTGATCAGAGATTCTCCACGTCAGTGACCTGAAAACAACAGAAAGACAGAGGAAATTATAGGACAAAACTGAGGTGCAAAATACAGAAGGATTTTTCTAAATCATCCCTGTCACAGTAGTGACACTGCAGATATGGGCAACAACTTAGTTTAAAAAACGGGGGCAGACTGGCGGATGGCACTCCTGCCTCATGACTACCAATATCTGTCTGTCTGAGTCTACACTCTGTCACCCCTGACCCTGAAAGTCTGGCGCACCACACTCAGACGGGGATCCCACAATTATGCCTGAGGGAAAACAGACACCCACCCTTATGGTTCTGCTGTCTGGTTTTGCTCCGTCATGACAGAACAAGGCGAGAGACTGAGTTGCATAGAAAAAGGGAGTTAATCGTGATTTGTTAAGCCCTCAACAATCACCACGAATCGCCAATAAAAAAAGATTCTAAACATTCATCTAAGATAGCGTCGTAGAACTATGGGGCCCTTGTTTGGTCTACGCCGTGCTAACTACCAAATGATGTATGCAGATAGAGTCTACGGCCCTTCACAAAACACATATATACAACCATAGTATCGTTGTCAAAAGGACGAGCTTTGACAGCATTTTTAATCAAAGCAAGAAGGAAAAGCAAAAACTTTTGTGTTTTTTCTATTAAAATTCTTCCTTAAAAAAGATGGAAGTAAAAGAATCTGAGTTAAAGGAACACACAGATACGTGAATTATCTGTCTTTACCGAATCCCTCCCCTACACACGTCTCAACAACACAAAAGGATTGAATTCCTCAAGTTTTGAGACCCTCTGTTTGACTGTAGGGTCGCTTAATTTTTTACAAAATTGTCATTTACCTTGCTTGTAAAACACTCCGGCGAGATTCACACACAGTTTGTGTCAGAATATCTTAAAACTAACAGATCCTTCATTGTTCTAACTTCTTTCATGCTCTACCAAACAATGATGATATTCAATAGAAAAGAGATGAATCAAGCGGTCAGTATCACATTGTGTGTTCATGTGTGTGTGAGAAAGAGTCGTTAGTTGAGGAGATGAGTCAATGGACACCGAAGGAGCCTGATATTGAGGAAGATACATATGTTTGCAAGAGTGCGTGTGTGTCGTTGGAGGGGGGTGTGGACGGGACACGACTCCCTCCGGTTCCCTTCTTTTTGCATTCAGCTCCGCATCTCCAAACTCCCTCACACGCACGGACCCTCGGGCTGACATTGTATCCGTCCAACAAAGACGTCCCCGCAGCCCCCTCATTATAAATACATGTCATTGGATCACAGCTCGTCTGAATCCCCGAGTCTGCTGCGCTCTAAGTGGCCGTGACCGAGCCCTGAATGGGTGGCCAAGCGACAGCTCTGCCAATGGAAGCAGCGGTGAGTGTGTGTGTGTGTGTGTGTGTGTTGCCTCAGCCTATGGGAATGAACGCCTCACAGTAGGAAAAGGTCATAGGTCAGGTGTCTGTTATGTGTGACTGTATGTATACACCCAGTTTTCTTAGAAGCCAGGAAGAAGAAAAAGGGAAAAAAACTTGTGACGGTGGTTTTGTGTGATGGAGGTTTGCCTTAAATCTGGGGCAATAAGTTTCCTGCTGCCTCAACAACAAAGCTGCGTGGATAAAGTCCTAGTTCACTCAGTGTGTGTGTGTGTCGGTTTGTGCGCACGTACATTATGTGTGAGTTAAAAGTTAAAAGAGCACCTCCCTTCTCGTTATGCAGGGGGAAATACGAAAGTGTCTATCCCGGTGGAACCACAAACCAGGCCACTGTGTTTTACCCTCATTCCTCCTTGCTCCTCCACCATCAAGTTTTTCTATTTCTGAGTCACGGCATGAATTACTTTCCGTCTTACAAAGTTTTCCTTCCTCTGCTTGCACTCAAGTTTTCAATCTCCCGAGATATGACCAGAAGTCAACTGGAAATGAATAACCACAGCGTGACTCATCACTCATTGTTGTTTTAAATATCTGCTGTTACCTGCGCCGACTGAATAAATGCATGACATGTGTTCACAGATGGTTGATTTGAAGAAAATCATGTGCTCAAAATTCTTCCATCCATTTATGAGATGTGCCAAGTACAAGGATTAATGGGATAAAAGCCTACCATCAGTTCAAGTGCAACTATGGATTTTTGGATGTGAATTTGCATGAGTTCTCATTGCTCATTTCTCTCTGGATGTTGACGCGACCACACAACTGAATGACTCCAGTGCTTAGCCAATAACTCATCACATCCCTAAAGTTCAGTTCAAGAGAATCCAAAATGAGGGCTTTTGTAAATATACAGTTTTTGTAAGATTGTTTTTATTTTTTTTATTTCGGAAAAGCGATTTTTGTTTCTCCTCGTTTCTATTATTTTTATTTATTTTTCCGAATGCTTTGTACTGTACCACGTGTACCCTCTTGAAGGATACCGTTCTTATTTAAATACTGTGTGCACTGAAATAATGGTTGCCATTTATGGGTAAAAGACCTTCTGCGAATCTGATCAATTAATCTAAAAATATTTCTCCTGGTTACTGTCAGAGATTTTATAAAACCTCAGAGGAGAAAAGGCAAAGGTCTGGTAAAAGGGAAATAAAAAAAAGGTCTGATGGGACGAGGAA